CTGAACATTCTGGTCAAGTTCCCCTTTGGAAGCCCTGCATAGCAGAGGTCACCCTGCTTTAGTTATTCAAACTGTTGTTTAGGAAGCAAAACAAAACCTACAAACTTAAAGCATTCGCCTTTGAACGCTGAGCATCCTAAGACTAAAGTAATGATAATTCTCTTGCTCAACACCATATCTTTAACAGCTGAAGGGAATTTTCACAAATTACCTGCAGACACACAAAAATTGTACATAACACATTGAAAAGCAAAAAACCCAGGGCCCTGTGCATTTTAGTCTATCAAGTGCTTCTCAAACTTGATTATCCATAAGATTCACCAGGGATCTTGTTAAAATACTGACTCTGTTTCACTGGGTCGGGGTGGGGTGGAGAGTCTACATTTCAAAGAAGCTCCTGGCTGGTGCTCTGGGAACCACTCTTTGAGTAGTGAGGCTGCAGTGGGATGTGCATGAGGTTTGGAAAAGGATGGACTTGAGTTAGATCCTGATTCCACCACTTATAGGCTGAGTGGCCCTGGGAAAAGTACTTAACTGCTCTGAGCCAGCTTCCACCATCCATTAAAATGGAAATACTCATGACCCCTCCTTTTCAAGACTGTAATGAGTAGGTGAGCTAGAAGCACAGTTCCTGGCAGATAACAGGCCCGGAATTCCATCCTATGCCATCTGTGGTAAGCTGAATAACGGCCCCCAAAGGTGTCCACATCCCAATCCCCAGAACCTATGAATATGTTACCTCACATGGCAAAAGGGGAATCTGCAGCTGTGATAAAGTAAAGGATCTTGAGATGGAGAGATTATCTTGGGTTATGTGAATGGGCCACTGTAATCAAAAGGGTGTTTTTAAGAGGGACGCAGAAGGGTCAGAGTAATAGAGATAATATGAGAGGATGGACTCAAAGGTCAGAAAGGAGAGAAGATGCTTGTTGCTGGCTTTGAAGATGGAGGAAGGGGCCACTACCCCAAAAATGTGGGCAGCTTCTAGAAGCTGGAACCTCCATAAGGAACACAGCCCTGCAGACCCATTTTAGACTTCTGACCTCCAGAACTGTAAGAGAATAAATCTGTGTTGTTTTAAGCCGCTAAGTTTGTAGTAATTTGTTACAGCAGCAATAGGAAACTCATACACTATCTGTTGGACTAATGCGAATGCAGGCTTGCCTCACTTTACATAATAGAGGATTTCCTGAGGCTTAATTATCAACTGAAACTAAATCATGTACCAGTTGCCCAGCAGAGGTCGATACACACAGAACTCTTCAAGGAGACTTTATATCAAGGGAAGGATTCCTCCCACATTGTCTGTTTTGTTTGGTAAGGATGCTTGTTAATAAACATGGACACCATGTGTGTTAATAACAAACTGTTCTAAAGGCCGAAAGGAATCTCTTACACTCTAATTGTATCATCACGTTCCAATCTGTCAGCTTCCACATAATTGTTGAAATCTAACAGGGCTCCTGGGACAATATCAGTGGGTTGATGCCTCAACGTCAGGAGGACTGAAGAAAGTAACCCTAGGCTTAGTGAAGGACTGAAAATCAATGGTGTTCAGAATAAGTCAGATCGAGAAAGACAAACACCATATGATTTCACTCATATGTGGAAGATAAACAAACACACATAGATAAGAACAGACTGGTGATTACCAGATGGGAAGGGAGTAGGGAGAAGGCGAAAGGGGTAAAGGGGCACGTAAGTATGGTGACGGATAAAAACCAGACTATTGGTGGTGAGCACAATGCAGTCTATACAGAAACTGAAATATAATAACGTACACCTGAAATTTACACAATGTTATAAGCCAATATGACCTCAATAAAATTAAAAAAAAGAAAGAAAATCAATGTTCTCAATATTTGTACAAATCTTCAATTGCTATTATAAGTGGCTTATCCCATAGATAAGCTTTATAAAATAAGAAAATACCAAGATAACCAAAAAGATGCAGAATGAAAACATGTGTTTCAAAACTAAGTGGACTTTGTTCAGCCTTTCTCAGGCTTTTTCCTGCATGCCTTGTCACTAATGGCTCCCCTTACCATCCGTGGTTTTGCACTTCCCTTACCAGGCTCTAAGCTCATGGAAGGACCCGGTCTCTCATTTCCAACTATTACATCCACAGCATCTAGCACTGTAACTGGCTCTTAGTTTGCACACAATAAATATTTGTGGATGAACAAATATTATGATGGATATTCATAATGGAGAAGCGTATTATGACTTTCATTAGAAAAAGCATTACTCTTCAAGTTCTTTTTCTCCAGTTTGAAACTAAAACTACTCGGCCCAAGATATTATTTATGGTAGAATTAAAAGCATGCTTTCTGATTTTATTTGCCTATTAATATATGCATTCGATAATTAACAATGTGTTAAGCAGTCAAAGCAAATAATTACTTTTTAGTGTCTGCCCCTGCCTATGAGCTAAAGGAGGAGGAAGCCACTAATTGCATATTAAAAAAAGGTAACTAGTTTTAAAACGTTCTGTTTAATCCCAGACCACAATATTCAAAACAGTTCCAGTCTTTCCACTGGCTCAGTTACAACCTCACACAACAGTCCCTCTTCAAAACAGATAATGAATTCTGCTCTGGTTGCACTGAATATAAAATCCGTATTCAGAAGTTTGCCAGTTCACATTTACGAGGTCTTCTGAACAACTAGTAGGGTTGGTCACAAAAACTATATCTTTTAATTTACTTATGTTCAGCATACTTTATTTAAGAGGCAATGTAATCACATGGAAAGCTTTTATTTTAAATCTTACTTTGAAATATGACTGAATACATTAACATAATTCAGAACTAGTCAGTAAACATCTACAAGAACATGTTATATAATTCTACTGAGTCTCATAATCTGTTTTCAGAGAAAAGAAATCACTGGACAGAAAAATGTTAAATTCAGATTCTGATTTTCAAGTGTCTGATAAAATCACAAGTTGCTCACTGTGTGGTCCAGAGAGCTCTAGCTGACGCTCCAAGTGCGTATGGGGCCAAATGAGTCCAAAGACACCAGATAACTGCAAATCCGACCACTGGGAAGCAGCACGAATCTGTTTGGTCAACTCATACCTTCTCTTGGTTTACCTGTAAACCGGGACTCCAAGTCCTGCTGTGATTTCCAGCTCCTTTAGAAACGAGGGCACTCTGTGGTTACTTTAGCACTGTACAATCTCAGCACCCAGGAAGCCTCGGCCAAGAGTCACCAAGGGTAGCCAGGTTCACAGGCAGCTAAGATTTTACCTCTCTACAAGACAAAATCAGGACCATCCTTGTGGACGCGTGTCCGTACTGACCTGCTCAGACGTTCACCACCAGCACGGAGGTATAGAGCCGTCTGCCCCTGCGCTGTGTGACCCCAGACTGCTGAGGTTTTAAATTCTTGTTGCCTCAGTGGGCTCTCGGCTCAGAGACCGAGGCTCTAAGAAGGTAAGGGTTCTGTCCAAGTTCACCCAGTGCATCAGTGGCGGATGTGGGGCTGGCATCCCGGACACATGAGCCCTAGTTCAGGTCTTTGTCCACCACCTTACTTTCCCTCTCCCCATCCTGCCACCGTTGTACAGGCCCAAGAGCAGGACAGGCTGCTTCTCCAGGGATGACAGCACTGGGTTCTACTCAGCAGGAGTCAATGACGTAGGCATGTCCACAACCACGACTTTGTGTAAAACATGAGTAAACAGAGAAGGAGGGACAGTCTGAGGGATCTCCCTGCCGCTTACACTCCCCAGACTTTAGGGAGAGCAATTCTGGGCAGCTCTTTTGCCTTTCACATCTTCACTGTGGGATTGTTCTGGATAGGTAGGTACACTGCCAGACAAGTGAGTCTGGATGGGGAGGAATTAATGCACCTGGGCTTACTGCAGAGCGCCTCGGCTTCTAGAGGTGTTAGATATCATAGCAGGACCCGAGAAGCTTGGTTTACAGGGTAACATCAGCCAAAAACAAATATCCACGGCCACTGCAATGCTTTCTGCAAAAGTCTTCAGGTCATCTCTGTTCCACTTAGCAGAGACTGAGACACAGATAAGAGTGGCCATGGGCACCCAGCCTCCCTGATGGGCAGCGGCAGTTTCCAAGTGCTTATACTTGCTCACTGGGTCTTATCCTTGCCTGGGAAAGAAGGATATCAGACTGGGGGAACAAAAAAAGGGAAGTAAGTTCTAGAAGGCATCTGTTATTTTTGCATTCCCAGGATCCCACTTTTCTTTAGGGGAACCATTCTGTTCTGATCACCTGGTTGCAGTGGAGCTGATCCCACACCCTGGCTTCAAGGGGCCATGTGAGCTGGATGGGTGTTGGTCTGGGAGTCTGACTGGGCCACCAAGAATAAGGCACTTTCTCTCTGTTATGGTTTCTGTAAGAAGGACATAAACCTAGAGCTCCCAGGAGCCACTACCTACAGAGAGAGCCCACATGAGAATGAATTCAACCCAGAAGAAAGCAGGGCTTAGCAACAGAGAGACCAAGTCCTGCTAACACCCTCTGAGCCCCTGGATCCAGCCATACCTGAAGCCTACATCTGCCCCTGGACTTTATAGTCCCATAAAGCAATACATACTTTTAAAAACAATTAATCCAGTTTAAGCTAGATTTCTGTCACTTGAAAACACAGTAACAAATACAGGAAAAATAAAAGTATAAGAAGAGGGGAAATGAGAGGAGAAGATTACATTTACGAATACGGTATCTGGAAGCAGTTCAAGTTTGTCCCCTGGAAATGAAGAAAGGTGACACATGGGAATCTGTTCCATTTTTCATATTAAGCTCAGATCATCAGAACTGTAGCTCTGCTTAATTACTGTGATTAATCTCACCAAATTCTAAATATAAAACGAGTATGCATTTTCTGATGTTCGATGATACTGCAACAGTCATGAAGGAATGAGCCATTACTGAATAGAGACATCTTTTAAGAGAAATCATTTTTTTCTGCCCAAATGTAGTCATGTCTGGGTGAAGGAGAAAAGGTCAGAATGACAACCCAAGTCTTACCTGGCATGGCATGGACGAGGTCCCCGCATAGAACAAAGAATTTGGGTTTGGGGTTCAGCCTGTTGATGGCCTGAACAGCTTGCTCAGTCAGACGGATCTCCTGTCCCCACTCGTCACCGCATCTGTCACAGTCCCCAGTGGACCAGGCCTTCATCAGCCCAAACTGTGGGTCTGCCCCTTGGATGAAGTAGAACGGGCCTTTCCATTCCCTTTCCTTTTCTTAAAAAAAAAAAGAGAGAGGGAAGAAATATTATAAAATCTGTCAGGGAAAGCATCCAGGTTACCGTGTGAGTCGATACAATATTTTTCTTAAATTAAGTAGGTCATTTTAATAAGCTGCTGTTCAAACAGACCATTTTCCTGTCATAGTCTAGAGGATTTTGATTTATACTAATTATGCCTGGGACCCGGCGGCTCCCCGAGGCCAGGAAAAACCATGTGGGCTGCAACAGCCACGCAGCCGAGCTGTCTGTTTAAAAGCCAGGCGGCCAAAATGGAGCGCCGAGGCACAACACACGCTGTATAGAGGATATTAATGTCCAATAATAGTTTTTTAATTAGAATTAAAAATACCCCAAACTGAAAGCTGCCAGAAGAATTATATGTAAATTACTAGGTGAAGCGCTCTCAAATCTTTCATGCCAGGCTTAATGGCACAATTTGCACTGTTTCGGGGATGTGACAGAATTTTAATTCTAATACTTGGAGCTCGGAAGCTCCGGCTATCTGGTGGGAAAAGCAGTACCAGAAAGCAAATCTTGAAATGAGTTTGTCAATGTGGAAAAGAAAAATCGATGCTAACATTTCCAAGGCAGCATGATGTGGGCATAAGCGAGGTGTGGGGCTGGGGTAGGGGGAAGGAGGGGGAAGGGGAGGGAGAGGGGATTCTTTAGGTTCTTGGAAAGGGCACTAGGTCACGTGCACCAAGATTACCAGGTTTGCCCTTCCTATTGGTTCTACGGGCCGAAGCTTCACGGACCACAGGTCTCTACCCTCATCCACCAAAAGAACTGTAACCAGCGCCTGCCTTCAGAGCTGGAATGGCCAGTAGTGGGCATGGAAGCCCTGTGGGTTTCAAACTTTTTGTTTTTGTTTTTGGCGACAGAATCCTTTCTTCAAACAAAACCTTATGTGGCAGACCAATGTTGAAAACACGGAGCTTCCTCTGCCCGAGCAGGATCTGGGGACGAAGCAGTCTGAAGACCCCCGATCTACAGCCCCCACATTTATCCTCTGAGCAAAACTGAGGCCCCAGAGAGGTGACATGACTTGCCTAAGGGCCCATCAGCAATCAGTGGCCGGGACAAAACTACCCCACACTCTTGAGACTGCTTTCTTCTTTTTAACAAATTAATCCATTTGCATGTGTAACTAAATAAGTGGCATTTCATTTGGAAGTCATGAAGATATTTATAATTTCTAAAAAGCTCCTCGGAATCATTTTGTGTCTGCGTGTTCAATTCATTCGTTTATTTGGTGGGTATTTACCGAGAGCCTACTGTTTGCCAGGCCCGTGCAAGGTGCTGACCATACACGGGTGACCAAAACAGGAGACGTCCCTGCTCCCATGGGGCTGAGTTCTCATGAGGGAGATAGATGCAAACAAGGAAATAAGCAGAGAATGGAGCCAGAGGGTGCTACGGCCTACGAGAGGATGAAGAGTGAAGCAATAGCTAATTTAAACTGGACACACAGGGAGGGACTCTCTCTGAGGTGGTGTCATTTAAGCTGAGATCTAATCGGCAAGAAGAGCCAGTCGTAACCTCTTTCAATTCCATGGCCACCCTCCCACCTACCATACTCAGCTTACTACCATCTTAGAGTGGACCTCTAGCTCTCGCTCAGCCGCTCTTCATTCTGAATTCCTTTTTCAGAACTTAAAAAGACAAACATGCAAAGAAACAAAACCATCTATACATATTTTATAAAACAAATTGTATATGCGTGTTAATCCACCAGTTCTTGATCGACAGCTCACAATGCTAGCTGCTCAGTCAAATCACAACCAACCCGAACTCAATCTGAACAAGGACTGCAGGTGCATTCATTGCTAAGAACAGCGATCCAGCACTAAAATGGATTCAACTCATACCCACTGAGCCTCCCTATGTGTGGCAGAGAGACTTCAAGATGCCCCAAAGACCCCTGCATCATGATACTCATATTATGCAATCCCCTCCCCTTGGGTGTGGGCTGGATCTAGTGACTTGCTTCTAATAAGCAGAATACAGTGATGGGATATCCCTTCAGAGATTAGGCTGGACCAAGATATGGAGACAACCTAAATGTCCATCGATGGATGAACGAAAAAGAAAATGTGGTATATATCTACAATGGAATATTATTCAGCCTTAAAACAAAAAGAAAGGAAATCCCACCATCTTGGGACAATATAGATGGACCTGGAGGACATCAACTAAGTGGAATAAGCCAGTCACAGAAAGACAAATACTGTATGATTTCATTTATACGTGGAATCTAAAATAGTCAAACTCATAGAAGCAGAGAGTAGAATGGTGGTCGCCAGGAGCTGGGGGTGAGGGGAAAGAGGAAGTGATGGTCAAAGGGTGCAGTTTCAGTTATGCAACATAAAGAAGTTCTGGAGCTCTATCACACAGCCTAATACCTATAGTTAACAATACTGCATTATATACTTAAAGTTTGCTAACAGGGCAGATCTTACGTTAAGTGTTCTTACCACACGCATAAAAAATAACAACAACAGCAACAATAATAAAGGGGGTGGGAAAGAAACTTTGGGAAGTGATGGATATGCTTATGACCTTGATGGTAGTGATGTTTCCCAGGTGTATACTTATCCCCAAACTCACCGAGTTGTACACATTAAATATGTACAGCTTTGTGCATGTCAATCATACCTCAATAAAGTGGTTAAAAAAAAGAGCGAGATTAGGCTAGAAAAAGACCATGACTTTCGTCTTGCTTGCTCTCTCTCACACTGTCTCTCAGAGCCCTTGCTGTGGAGAAGAAAGGCTGCCATGTTGTGACTAGCCCTGTGGGGAGGCCAATGTGGCAAGGAACTGAGGAACCAGCCTGTGGAGAACTGAGGCCCTCCATGCAACAACCCTACAGGAACCGAATCCCGCCAATAGCCTCGTGAGTGAACATGGAAAAGGATCCCTCCTAGTTGAGCCCCCAGATGAGACCACGGCCCCGAATGACACCTTGACTGAACCCTGTGAGAGACCCTGCAGCAGAACGACCCAGCTAAGCTGCACTCAGAGTCCTGACAGAAACCGAGAGATAATACACATTTGTTGTTTCAAGCTGCCCGGTTTCAGGTAATTTGTTGTACAGTAATGGATAGCTATGGATCAGGCATTAAAGATAAAGGGTCAGGAAGGAGTCAGCAAGACTTCTTCCAAAGCTGAAGGCTGGTGTCTTGAAAAACGCTGAGATTCTGATTTGTGTTGTAAAGTTGTTAGCATCATTTATTTATCTTACTTGAATAATAACCTTTTTACATGATGAATGCTTGTAGCTACGTCCCTGTTTCTGAGACAGTTTGCAGAGCTGTTTAAACTGGATAAATTAATCAGAAGCAGATCAGGCAGGTGATCGTCACCCAAAGGTTGGAGCACAGATCAATCTTCCACAACAAACAGAATTATTAAACAGTTTTCTATAGCAAACAATTTAACAAATACAGTCTCCTATGACAAATAGTCATTGTCTCGAAAAGTCAATAGTCCTTGGAGGTAATAAAATAAATCTTTCATTACTTTACTTAGTAAAAACTTAGAATCTCCATTTTATAATGACAAGGTATAAAATAAATAGATTTGACCTAAAACGAATGACAGCTCACATATCAATATTCAATCTACTTTCTCTAGGTAATAAAAGCAATTTGTTGACTCAGGGCTCTGCGTGCTCAGAAGCACCTGGATCCTCTTAACGTTCCCTCTACAGAAGCTTGTGGTCTTTGGTCTCATCTTAATTTTAATCAAGGCTAAATTAAAGCTATTTGAGGCTTATAATGCTTAGTTCTAGAGAGGAATCTTTTATAAATTTATACCTCCTCCATCCCTCAAAAGGGCAGATTTTTACATTATGAAAGTGAATTCTTAACAACATTTGCATTAAATTGTTTCACCAAAGTCCAGAGTTACCCGCAGGACAAGGCACAGGTGTTAGTTACCTGACATCTACAAGAGCCAGGGAGAGCTCACGACACCAGCCCTTCCCGGGCAGAGCAAGTGTCTGCTCCCTGGCACAGGCCAGCTTCTCTCTTTAGACTCCCTGAAAGCACTGTCCTGGGAGTCTGGATGTACTGAGGTCCATTCCTACAAGCACCCTGCTACATAAGCTGAGCATTAAAAAAGAGACTTAAGAATCCAGTGGTTTTGTTTTTATTCTCCTAGTCAAAGAACTTAAATATCAGATTGGTTAATTAAACGGTAAATGCCTGATAAACCAAAAGTAAGGAACAGAATTGCCTAGAAACGGAGGCTGAGGGAGAAGGCAAGGAAGAGAAGCGAGTAGCCAAGAAGCAGGCTGCAAGAGGGCAGGGCTGGGCTACACCTCAGTCCTCAAGGTGTGGCCGAGGACCAACAGCATCATTGTCACCTGGGAGCTTTGTGGAAAGGCAGAATCTCAAGCCCACTCCAGACTGACTGAGTCCGAGTCTGCATTTTAACAAACCCTCAGGTGATCTGTATGCAAATCCAAATTTAAGAAGCACTGGCCTGCAACTAATCAAGGAACTGCTTAAACAGGTTTGATAAGAAGCAGACGCAAAGTGATTTTTGTTTGCCTAAATTGAAATAATGTCTTGGAGGATTTGCTGCTGTTGTCAGCAGCCGTGTTGTTTTGGTTTTGTTTTGCCCATTTTCCTATTCCCTTTTAGGTCCCTGTCTGTGTCCAGCTCAGGTATTTGAGTCTAAACATTGCTTGGTCTTATCGTCTGCTACCTAATCATCACCCTCTAAACTGTCTTTCAAAACCAAGTAAGATTCTTGGTAAGAATTCCAGGACTCAAGGTAAGAACTTAATCAGGGAATTCATCACTAATTCGTGAGTTCTAACACTTCAGATTTTTCATGACCTCACGGCACACAACAGAGAGGTCTGTTATTTTTCTTCCAAAACTGATAAAAGAATGAATGCAGTTAGGGGCTCTAATGGCTAACTATGATAAGGCCAAGGTCAAACTGAGATAAACTAAGTACTTGTAGAATGAATGAATTAAATAAAGT